AGGGTCCAGCAGTCCACCCCCAGCCAGTGAAGACTCCCCCACTCCTCTGGCATCTACTCTAGTCCCCTATAATATTTTTATGACTACAGAGGAGGCCAAGAGCTTGGAGAATTCAGAGACACACATTCCCACCACCTCCAGCTCTGTGTCTGAAATCACCTCACCCAGCAGGGAAACCTGGGTCCAGGTTGAAGTGGAGACCACAACCCAGCTGGGTGGTAAAAGGGAGGAGACTGTGACCTCCAGAGCCAGCGGTCGAGGAGGCAGAGGAAGGGGGAAGAAGAACAGAGGGGAAGACAGAAGCAGAGGAGAAGAGAAGGGGAGAGGAGAGGAGAAGGAGAAAGGAGAAGACGAGGGTAGTGGAGAAGTCACTGGTGCAGAAGCAAAAGGGGAGATACAAGTCTCACAACGACCTGTTGAAACAGGAAAACCCAGAGAAAGATCCAGAGAGAGATCTAGAGAGAGAGGCCACAGGAAAGGACAGTCTACCACCACCACCACAACTACCACTACCACTACAACTACCAGTCCTGTGGAGCCCTCAGTGATGACAGCAGCTGGGTTAGACAGTGCTGACTTTTCTACATCCAAATTATTGTTTGCTTTACCAGCAGACACCCCAACACCATCTGTCTCACCAGAGGAGCTGTATCATACACCATCCTTATCTCCATCCCCATCACCATCAATCTCACCATCCCTGTCCATCTCAGCGTTTATGTCCGTCTCTCAATCATTCCCATCCGAGTCCCTGACTGAATATCAAACACCCTCCTCGCCCTCATCTCTTCCTTCTTCCTCCACCCTAACTCCACCAACCTCCTCACCTTCCTCCCCTTCCCACCCCCCATCGGTTGCATCAGGAAACCCAGCTCCATCTCCTCCCTCAGACAACCAGGACAGCGCCACTAACCTAACATCACTTCACTGGGTCCCAGTGGAGAATGCAACTCTGAACCATTCTTTGGATTATCCTCCATTATTATCGGGTCCCCCAGATGAAGAGGATCACACCTGGTCTCACTCTGTGGGGTCAGGGTCTCTGTTACCTGGCAACATGGAGGAAGAAAGCAGCAGAGGGTCTAACATCAGCGCTGCAACACTGGGCCCAACAGGTAAGCACTGTATGTTTTTTCAGATGTTTCACACTGTCATGCTGTTGGCAGGCTTTATTTTATTTGGTAAGTGTGACCATGTTTCTGTACTATAACATAGTATATTGCAATTACAAATATTTTTTTGATAGAAGTCTACTATTTTCATTTAATAGCCTTAAAGGATCATTTTGACTTATTCCAACATGGGTCATCACTATAATAAGGTTGTATTCAAAGGTTATCTGTGGTCATTTGACAGTCAGACAGGTTTTAAAGGGCAGCTACACCCTTATATTCTGCTTAAAGCCTTGTGCTTTAAGCAAACCTCTTTATTCAGATTTGTTTGTCTGTTGTAATTATTCATCACAATATAAATTTTGTTTCTGTGAATTCAGTGGACAGGCTTTCTCTTATGTGTTAGATTGGTGCGGAGTCTCAATAGTGCCTCCACCAAAAGAGGATAGCTGGGACCTCCGGTAACACCAAGATCTTATTATTGTGTCCTCTTAGCTGGCTTGCTAGTGTTAGCCACCTGGATTTTCAAGCGGTGGCTTGCAGCCACCAATGCTAAGCCAAGTCCCTGACAGACAACATACCTTAACACCTGAGGCTGGCTGGTGGTTATTTTGAGAAACATGTTCCTTTAATTTCTTGTCAAGAGTTAAATGGGAAGATCAGTGCCCTTGATCTGAATGTAACAAAGTCTGCCTACCAGTTCCTCTAAAGGTCACTAATACGGCATTCCACTATCGGAACCTGACAAGCAGTATACCCCGTACTTCTCCTAACTATGAACAAGCATAGCCTCTAGAGATGACTGTCCAGCTTTGTTTTTCCACTGTATTTTCTTTCTGTCGGTTTCTGTTTAGAGGAGAGAGGGGCTAATCCTCTCTCACTCACATAGTCAGCTCTGTGTTTACACAGGTGTGTGTAATGCTAATGCTTGAGGTGTGAAGATGCAGACATTTAACCAAGCACTGGCAACTGCTCTGCAAAAGCAGCAGAGCAGTTATCCCCTTATAGTTACTTAATTTTAGTACTACCTCCTGAGGGGTGTTGATATTTAGCTCCCAGACCTTACCTCCAAAGTGGGCTGAGTGTATGCAGAACCTGTAAAGAGCACTACTTGGCGAGAAACGTTTCAGTAGGTTCCTATAATGGAAAAACCCCTTAACCGAAACAATGGGTATATCCCATGTCTCTTATAAGCACCGTCATTTCCCTCACTTGCCTCTTTTTCCTGTCTCTTAGTACTACACACATAATATGTGAGGAAAAAAGACTCAAGGAAACACATTATGAGACGTCTTTCCCTCAGATCCTTCATCTGAAGCGTCCAGTCACCAACTGATTTTTGATAAAGAGTCATGCAATAGATAAAAAATTTCCACAAAGGAAGGTCTTGTGAATTTTTGGTTATGGCTCTTCAGGCAGCCTCGTTATTCCTTGCTCCTCAAAGCCAGCTCAAGAGACGTGGAACATCCTATGTCCTTGGTGAACCAGAACGACTTCTGGGTCGACCAAGGACCAAGAAGATAGGAGTGATCTTATCAGAGACATGAGATGTACCCACTATGCCTGGAGAGTGTAGCGACAACAATATGCTGATTTACAGGTGATTATGTAACAGACTATTTCCTAGCTGAGAACAGTGCATGTCTCAGAAATTATTTTGGTAAGTACAAGTTATCATAACTAATAGAAATGAAGACTGATGTGAATAAGACCCAAGTTGTAAAAAAGCAGAATAATCCTTTAAGCTTCCTTTTCATTTCCATTACCCTGACAACGCCACTGACTTATTTATTCAAAAGATTCAGTGTGTTTTTCCCAGCTACATACCTTTTATTCCCACCAGAAGCAGAGCTCACATCCCCACCACAATCTGTTGATTAAGTCTGCGGCACTGTGCATCTCAGTGAAGCTCCTGGCTGGCCACCTGGTTTACTGCTCATACACTTGATAATGAAAGCACATACAGGAAACATCCTATCACTCGGTGTTTGAAAGCCCCACAGGCATCAACCTATCAGACATTTCTATGATGATTTATTTTGCTCCCTTTGAAAGCGGCTCATGGCTGCAGCAGGCATAGCTGAGCTCTGTGCACGGCGGTGTGAGGAGTCTGTGGATGGCAAACAGCTGCAAACTGTATCGACAAGAAGCCGAGGGCAACCATCTGGTGTGCAGGTGTACAGTATGAGTCTGATAGATTGACTGAGAGACCCTGCGGCCATGCAGGCAGAAGGCCATAAACACACAAACAAATTCTGATATCTGCAAAAAGAAGATGGGTGCATTCGCAGCAGACTGACTTTCAACTTATGTCTCTCTCTCCAGTTCCAGTCCATTGTAGTTGGGTTTCATGGCAGTGGTCAGTATTTGCTCTCCTGACTGGATCACAGAGTACTTCATCAGTCAGTTCAGTCAATGAGAGAGACAAGAAAAAAGGGGCCTCATTTAGGATTCAAGGACATTCAGCAGCAAAGACATGAACACAGACACACACCAGCAGACCACACACAAAGAAATGCCATCAAGTTATTTTCATTGCCTGATTTTTTTAGACAGATTTTTTTTTTTTAATCTTTCTGTAACATCTAAATTGCAGTTATTTTTGTCTCATGGCTTCACAGATATGACAAAGCTCACTCGTGAGATTAAAAGCCTTCATCCAAAAATCATATTTTTAAAGTAAAGCATATTTACACTGTGTCCGTGCTACACTAGGCATGATGTGTGGATTAATACTTTGATACGTTGCTACTGCAAAGTATTAGCCCTTGTCCTATCTCTAAACTTATTAGCTGGACCTTGCTGTTGCCAGCTTATTGTTGTTGTTTGTGTCAGTGTCAGCTGCTGTGCAGAGTGAGGAACAGTCCACTCTGTCAGCTCCTTCTACAGACTATTGATTTTTCTGCACCACTCGCTTTAATGAACAGCTAATCGCACAAGGTTTATCCTTCAAACACACACACATACTGCAGTAAATCTGCTTGTCATAACAGTTGATATTTGTCAAGGCATGCCATGACCTTGACTGATGCAGAGGGTGCACGTCGGGCAGTGTACAATAAATGAAGTGCATGGCTGGGTTTAGCACCTGACCTCAGCAGAATTTAAAGCAGGAGCAGAGAGGATTAGCTCGCAAAATTTATCATAAATCCAAAGGGCTGAGGCTGTAGAGAAATCTTGCTCTGTACTCAAGTTCTTATGATGGAAAACATTCAGTCTTGTATTTTTTTTCCATTTTTATTTTTGGTCCCTGGTCATTTATTTTGCCCAGTACAGGAGCCAGCATGATGATGACTCAGAGAATGTGAGGTTGAGATGCTTGCTTCTGGTTAGTTATTGAACAGGACCAGCCTCAGGGCTAATCATAGCCAAGGTATTGATTTTCGCTCATTGTACCTTGTAAACACAAGCGCACAGACCTGCTCACACACACACACACACACACACACACACACACACACACCACCCCCTCCTTATCACTTTCCTTAGCAGTCTGCAGTGTCAGAGAGAGAGTTGGCAGAACAAAGACTCCCACAGCTGAGGTTTTGCAGCCAGAATGAACGAGTGGTGGT